AAAAAAAAGTGGATGTAGGAGCCAATTCCGTGTCCACTGGCCAATCCTGTAACAAGAAGAGCAAGGAAATGTGTCATGATCATGTGCTACTCTGAACTCCTTTACCAAACAGTGTGCCCGCATCTCTTAAACTGCCCCTTGATAAAGATTGCCTTCCAAACACATGATTTCTATCTTGCCACTGTGTGTGGTTGATGCGAAGATTAAGGGGCAAAGAACGCACAGTTCTTGTCTGGCTCATGACAGGTGCTCCACCCAGCACTGCTATCACAGTGCCTAGTGCTTTTCTGTGCTCCTCCTCTCTGCGGTCGGCCTGGAAGGACTTGTTCCTGTTGTGTCTTGCGTTTCTGGTAGCAGTCATCATCTCCTCTGGGTGGAGAAACACGGAGCATTCCTCTCCTTGTTTGCACCTGAACTGACCCCCTCTGAATTGCATCCATTTCATTCCTGTATTTAGTCAGTAAGGTAGGTGGTGACTAACAGCAGGATTCACGTGGCAGTTACCTTGCTGTAAGGCTGCCAGATGCTTCTAAGGAGAGTGATTCTATCTTCATTTTCTTTGAAAGCGATTATCAAGGGTACAGAGTCTCCTGGCTGGCTGCAGAAGGAGCGCGCAGAAGCTGATTGGCTGACCAAGGGTCTGAAGGGTGGGCAGCACCTCAGAAGACCTCATCCTTGAGTTTGCTAAGGGTTGTAATGAGTCCCAAGATTCTAACGAGGTAGAGGAAGTTTTCCTGTGGTGTTGGGCAGGGGTGACTAAGACATTTATGGTACAAGTGTACATCTAGAAGAGCAATCACTTTGCTAGGAACCGTACCTGGTTGCTTCTACTCGATTCCTGTGAGGTCTTGATGGTGCAAAAAGCAACTGTGTACACACTGGCACATCAACAGATTCATGGGAGGTACTTAATGAGAAGATATATTTATTGTAGTGCAAACAGTTTAAAATCCAGATAGAAGATGGTTCTTCAAATAGTTTGTGGAAACTGATTTATGAAAAACGATCATTTTCTTCAAAAGGTTAGGCACCAAAGCTTATTGTCATCCTTTGTGTGAACTGAAGCACCCTCATGCCACGTGCATAAGTACATATATCTGTTTATGCGTGTAAACATACATATGCACATGTGTGCCTGCACACAGTCATTGCCTGCAAATCTTTATGTTTCTTTCCTGTTGTCAAGGGCAGAATTTGAAGACTGGAAACCCAGCTCTGCAGATTCATTTCCTTCTCTAGTGTGCTCTTCTTGGGAACAATTCTGCCCCACCTCCTACCTGCACTTTAGCTTCTCCTTTGATGAATGTATGGAAAACTCAAAAAGAGCCACTTGGTTTCCTGTCTCTCCCATCTTTCTGTCCAGTAAAATGATCCTAACATGGAGAAAACCCAGCCACAAATGTCTGTTTAATAATTCCCAATGTCTGCTCCGACTCTGGATTGTAATGTTTCAGAATGCTCAGTGCCTGGGAGTCAGCCCAAAATGGCTATCTGAAATTGCCAGGAGTCTGTGTCTAGTGATTCTGAATATGAAAGCAGGAACATGCCTGGGGGGGCAGTCTCTTTGCAGGAGAATTGCTCTGGTTGGTGGGCTCTATCCTTCATGCCTATTTAGACTAAATGTCTACTCACTGCCCTTGAGGCAGCTCAGGACTTGGGAGAAATAATCTAAAAGAAAATACTTTATAATGGAATAGTAAGTGTTCTCCCAATATTATAAAAGACTGTCCTAAAATGTCCTGTAAGGAACATCTCTACAGGTTTTTTTTCACCCTCTAATGAAATGGTGAGTGTTCTCTCCAGACAGGGCTTGAACTGGGACTGATGGGAAAAGAGAAAATATTGACCCTGGAACTTTGGCTTTGAAAGTGTGAGCTCCACCTAGACCAGCTAAGGTTGGGATCTATTTCCAGAAAGAAAAGAAACACCTGCCATTGAGGCATCCGTGACTGGGCTTATGAAAGTCCCCAGATGCACCATAAACACTGTTCTGCCAACAGTTTAAATGTTTTGTTTTATTCTGACAAAAAAAAATCTATGTATTCAGGGTATACAATGGAATATTTGAGCATGTGTACTTTGTTCAGTAAGCAAATCAGGGCAATTAGCCTATCTCTAACCTTGCACATGGTTCATTTCTTCAAGGTGAGGACATTTGAAATCCTTTCTTCTGTATTTCTTGAAATGCACAACGGATTATTGTGTTTTTGAAAAAAAAAAAGACTTGTTTGTTTGAAAGGCAGAATTACAGAGAAGGAGAGAGAGAGAGAGAGAGAGAGAGAGGTCTTTCATCTGGCTAAGTGACTGCAATTGGGGTTGGCCAGATAGGAACCCAGGGCTGTATCTAGTCTCCCACCTGTGTGGCAAGAACCCAAACACTAGCTCCTTCTGCTGCTGCTTTTCAAGGTTCAGTAGCAGGGAAGCCGGATGAGAAATAGACCAGCTAGAACCTGAAACAGCCCCTATATGTGATGCCAGTATCACAGGCGTTAGCTTAATCCTTAGTGTCATAACACATTCTTATTAACCACAGTCACCACAGAGAACACCAGAACTCCTTTTGTTGAACAATCTTTGCATTCACAAACCAACCTCACCCCTTTTCCCTGTCTTTCCCACCTTGAGAAGCTGGGCACTTCCTGCTGCAGCTCTGTAGAAACTCTGCGGGCAGTCCACTTCTGTCTCACTGTGGTGCATTCCTTAAGTCTTGGCTTCTACAGGGTAGCCTCACTTCTGGTCACTTGCAACTCTGTAGGAAGAAGCCAGAAGTTGCTTCACTCAGAACTTTCCGTTGCCAGGGACAGAAACCCCCAAACACATATCCATGGCCAGGGGTAGCAGATTGGATCGCCTAAAGGCTGGCTTTGAGAAACAGCTTGTCTGGGAATATTGGGGTCCAGGCTAGAATGGAAACCCAAGCTTATCACTATTCTGCTGCCATGGTGTCAGTCTTTAACTTCTCCAGCTGAATCTCACCTGAAACACTGTCATGGCAGGGGGCATGCCTGCCCCAGCAGATGCTGGCCACGTGCTGCTGATTGAGGTGGTTTGTGCTTGCTGACATTCCCTTCAAATATGAGGGCTCCTGTGATGACGGTCCCTGTGTGTGCAGTGACAGATATCCCTTCATTGTCTTTGTGCCTCAGCTGTAATATCCCTGCCTCTTCATGTATACTTGTTGGTTTGTGAAACCAAGCATATGCCTGAGAGAAGAAAAACATGAGATGGTGTTAGGATGCATTAGGATACAACACACACTTGTAAGGTCGTGAGAGCAAAAAATAAACAAGAAGGATAGAGGGGCCAAGAAAAAGATCAAGATCTCAGTCTAGAGTGGAGTTTGTTGAACGGTGGCCCTTGGGAGAAAATTCGTACCTCCTGTTTTTGTTTGGTGGGGAAAAAACTTTATTGGAACATAGCCAATTAAAATTTTTTTTTCTTTTCTTTTTTGCATAATTCCTGGATCTGCGCTCATGCTACAGTGGCAGAGGGGACTTAGTAAAAGTCTGGCTTTCTATAGGCGTTTGCCTGTCCCTGTTGTCCTAGAGTATCCATCACTCCTTAAGCTCACTGGCCCCGTCTGGACCAGGCCTTGGTCTTCATGCCTCACTGTCAGCCAGGCTGGGTGACCTCAGTACTGAGTGGGAGGTCCAGAAAGATCATCACACCCAGGTGGGGACCCTGTCAGCCCACAGCAATTCCCGTGACATCTACTATTCTGTACCTGCATATGTAGCCAAGCTGGTGGGAACTCAGCTTCCCACCTGAGATGGAGCTATTTTTTCGTGTGGACTCCCTCTCCCACGCTCATCCCCTGGCTCACATCTCAGATGGGAGCCCTTCCCAAGCTTCCCCGGGATCGGCCAGCCTCTGCAGCCCCACCTGCTTGCCCTTGGCTCACAGTGAGATCTGTGCTCACATGTGGCTGCAGGCTAGGGGCTTTCCTTCAGTACCTGACTGTGCTGGCCTCCCTTCAGCTTCAAGACCTTTGCTCACAGTTTCCCCCTGCCTGGAACACTCTCCCTGGAGCCTTCTAGCTTCCACGAACTTAACACACTTGCTGTTCTTTTCAACCTCAGAGAATCCTTGCACCACTTTCCGTAAGGAAAGTGCCAATCCCCTAAGTAGCCAATATGCAGTATGTGTGCCTGCATATGAATATTTTTCAGTGTAGGCATGCCATATGTAATGAAAGTGGCTATAGGTTATCTCTTCTTCAAAATCAATTATTCGTGTTGCTGAAGGCTTGCTTCCTCCAGTGAATAGACATTGTAAAAGACCATCCAACTTGATGTTACCGAGTTCTAATAGCTGCCCAATAATCTGTCTTAGGTATAGAATGAATAAAGAATAAATAAATAAATAAGCAATAGTTTATTGAGGTGTTCCCATATCTGTAAGAGCTCATATTGTTTCTAGATGCACGTTTCATTTCACAAACCACAGTGCAGAAAATATTCTGAAGCTTGTATTTCTGCAGGATCAGCCCCCGCAGGTGGCATTATTTGTTCAACACACACAGGTTCTTTACATGCTCACACACGGGGCCAGATTCCTTCCTGATGAGAGAGTAACTCTTTGTGTACCAGCGCCCCCCAATTCCGGTGTTGCTCATCTTAATAGCCGGCAGTGTCCTGGTCAAGGGATGAATTCTCCTTAATGTTGAACTCCTTTGACTCTTACTGAGGCTGAGCATCTATTTTATGCACACATTTTGATAACAAAGCATGCCTGCTGAGATTGGACCTTGGCACGTTCGGTTGGGGGAGGTGGAGCTGCCCTAAGCTCAGGGTTTGCTGTTTGGAGTGATGTTGAAAAAGCACCTGTCTGACCTCGGGGGGCTCTCCCTGGTTCCCCATGTGTCTGTACAGGCTCTTCTGTGGTGCAACCTGAGTCCCCAGAAGCAAGAGAGTTCTAGTCTCCAGGGATGTGGGGAGGTAGGGGTAGGGATAGAAGTGCTGTGCCCTGTCCTTGACTCCCTTGTTCTCTCTGTCTTCCAGACACTACCCAGATGAACAACGCCGTGCCCACCTCTCCTCTGCTGCAGCAGATGGGCCACCCGCATTCGTATCCCAGCCTGGGACAGATCTCAAACCCCTATGAGCAGCAGCCACCGGGCAAAGAGCTCAACAAGTACGCCTCCTTAAAGGCAGTCGGTAAGGGCCTCCAGGATGGACCTCGGTCTTCACTTGAGATCTGTTTCTCTCCACTGATTTTCCTATCTCCCATCCCCTCCATTGCTCTTCCCTCTGCTTCCCACTCCTTCCCTTCGGTTCCTCTCCCTCCCCTCCTCTCCTGGGTATCTTAGCCCCTCAGCTGCCTTTTCTGGCTCAGATCAAATTTTTGTAGGGCAGCATGATTGGGCAAGGAGAGTATGTGAGTAAGAGCTGCTTCCTGGGGAGGAGGATGTGGGTGCTCTTGTGGTCGCCCTGATACCACGGCCCCTTTATCCAGGGGAACCACACAAACCCGCCAGGTGTGTGTCTCAGGAATGCATGGTCCTCTCATGAGCTGTCTTTCTCCTGCCCGGTGCATCCTAGCCATTGTCAGACAGGGCACACTCCTCCACAGGCTGCCCAGAGCTACTGTAAACTGAATTCTTACCAAGTGCATGGCATGGCATTTGCCTTAGCCCTTTCCTGAGCCAAAGTGTTGTCCCCATTGTCAGACCCAGAACCTGAGACTCAGCAAGTGAAGATTGCCTTGAAGCAGTCAGCGTAGGGGACAGAACAGAGGATGAACCTGCATTTTCATCACTACAGAGCCACTGCTCCTACCGCATTCCCCCTACTCACACATGAGGAAGTGTGGCCTGGCCCTGTGGCCTCTGAGACTCCTCAGCAGTTTACCCTGGAAAGTCCTGAGTGATGGTGGTGGCATCCTCTGTTCCCCTGAGTCAGTGCTCTCATGTGAGGGTGCACTTGCACAGAGCCACACAGAGAGCAGGAAGGCCTAGCAATGCTTCAGACATTTCTGCTGCACGAGCTGAGGCTGAGGTTCAGACTCACTCTTTTTTAAACACCTCTGTGCATGTCTCCTGGCTGAAGCCAGAACTCAGTGCCATGGATGCCAACCACTAGCAGCCTAGTACCAAGGAACATCAAATCCCATCACGCGGCTGGCTCTCAGCCTCCTCTGCCAAGTTTCTTGCTGGCTCTCTGCAGCCCTGTGCCTTGACCCCCAAAGAACTGCTCCCTTCTGCTATCTTCTAACTGGTCCCGTGAGTCCCGTGTTATCCCCCAGCTCAGGGGAGAACTGTCTAGCTGATTTTTCCATGTAACCTTTTCTTCTGAGTTTATTACTGGGGAAACTAGGAAAAGTCAGCTCTACTTCTGCTCTGGGAAACAATTCACTTTGGATCAGATTTTATTTTGTTGGAAGAAGTTCTTCTGCTGTTTAGCTATATATCAGACATTTATTCTTAAATACTATCAGTTCCTGGAAAACTTCCAAGCAACCAGGACTCCGGAAATTTTCTTGTACTATCAACTTGGTAACACTTAACCCTTCCTTGGGCCTCAGTCTTCCAATCTATAAAATGGGTATAAAAGTGTGAGGCTGAAATGAAATGACTCGTATTATAGTGTAATGGAGAATTTTTTATCCCGAGTACACTAGTCCTTTCTCTTTTCCACAGCCCCACCGTCTTATTCCCTCAGACCTGCGGGAGAAAGCTCCCTGAAATATGTTTCAAAATTGTCCTCTCAGAATTGACTCCCAGAAGCCCCGGAGGAATGAAACAAATCCCTGTGCGGGAGCTTCCATCTTACTAGGGGAGATCCTACCGTTCTTGAACTGTGCACCTGACACCTTAGGCTTCTAGGAAACACTGGGCAGGCAGGGGACCCCAAAGATTTTCTTTTATAATCACCCTCGTATCCTCTTTCCTCCCCATCCCCTTCCAAATCCCTCCTTAGAGATGAGATGGGAGCTTGGTGATTTGATTCCAGCATGAAATATCCTAGTTCAACTATAAATTGACCATGGATTCCAAAGTACAGGTGCAGTCACTTGTCTAAGGTGCTGGTGGTAACCACAGTCTACATTAGATGCATAAAACACCCACAGTGGCTACTCACACAGACGCCAGGCACATGCTAGGTGATTTGTGCCAAAAAGTCAGTCTTTGGTAATTCATGTTTCCCCAGCTCCTGGGAATTCCAGATGGAATTGGAGAGAGAGAGATCAAGCCAGGCTTACTTACCCAAGAGTGCAGGATATATCAGCTGGCATAGCTGCTTCTCTGCATCTGAGGCCTGAAAGCCCATGTTTCATGTTGAATTTCTTTGTCTAGCTCAAGCGTCACCGTACTGCATGACCCTGGGTTGATCATGGTTTCCTTCCATTCCATACTGAGTGTTTGTATAACTTGCACATCCTAAGTATGTTCACGTGTACTCGGACTTTCCAGGAAGGGCTAAGGGCTGCCGCCCAGAAGAGCAGCAGTCAGGGCATCTTTGCTGAGACAGCCGCCGGGGACTACACACTCAGAAAGGGCTCCATTTCTGAGGCTGGCCCTAAGAGGCTAAACAACAGATGCTGTTGTTGTAATATGGTCCTTCTTTAGGCATAAAACATCAGCCCTGCTGGCTCGTCCTTTCTGGACTGACCACACCTCTCTGTCCCAACACCCTGTAGCTTTTGGCATAAATGATGGCTGTTTCTCTCTGGGTTTGATGTGGGCCTCTTCACATCTGGAATGTCTGCAGAGCATTTGAAATGACAGCGGTAGTTCCTCTCTGAGGAACCTATTCTTCTGCAAATAAGGAGTCCCTACAATGTCTGTTGAATGGATGGATGGCCTTTTCATGGTGGTTTTGTTGCAAAGCAGTGTCTTTCTGTCTAAAGCATCTCACCCGTCCATCCTGTGTGTGGATGATGTGTCCCTCTTCGTCTCATCCTTCTTGACTTTATCCACAAGTCAGATGGTCTTGGGCGTCTCCAGGAGAGGGCACTCTCTTGGTAGACCACTTAACCCAATGGGTCACTCGGGAGTCCAGCATTTGTCTGCACAAATGAAATGCAAATCCCATAATAAATGTTCTTTCAAGGGTTCTTTATTAAGGCATAATGTGATCATGGTGTGAATGATGAAATGCATTTCATTAGTGAAATCATTACCACCCAGGAGAGAAGTTGTTTAAAAAATGGTTTGCTGTTGAGAGCTCTGCAACCTCTGATAACCAGACTCATTTTCTAAAATTAACTGAAGGAGGGGAGGGTTAGGTGTCCTTTAGGGTTAAATGTGAAGTTCAAAAATCACCCTGGAAAAGAAGTTTCTCTCTGAGCTCATACTATCCTGAACATCAGGTGGGTCACTGGAGGCCGAACTCGGCCCTGGCTCTCACCAGTCCAGTCACGGCCGTGCAGCTTTGAGGTAGTCGCAAAAACTCCAATTTCAGCTTCTTCATGTGAGAAATGAGGAACTGGACACTATGGTCTCCTCTTTTCTGTCTACCTCTCAGGAAATGGGCCTGGACCGTCTGGTCATATAGCCTATGGTGCTATCTGTTCCAGCTATTGGTAAAAAATCATCACATGGGAAGTGCTAGACTCAGTGCCCAGTGGGAGATGGAGCTGAATCATTATTTGTTCAGTTCATTCATTCATTCATTCATTCGTTTGTTTGTTCATTTTCCGGGGGTTCAGTCCGGTGTCCCTGGGCTGTAAGGCCTCACATGTAGCAAGTCAGTTCCATCTGACACTAGCTCAAGAGCTAGCTCTAAGCAGGTACTTGGTAAGTATGCTGAACACTGACTCGTGAAACCAGTAGGCAATGCCATGTGAGAGGTACCACAGCAAGCTCGGAGCTCCACATGGTCAGCATGGTAGAATGGCACATGACATAACTGGTTAGAACAGAGCTATAATTTCTCCCTCAGACAGGTATCCAGTAAGTACAGAAATCCTTACCCTCTTCATGTCTCAGCTTCACCATCTGCAAAGTGGGTAAAATAATGACACACAGCTGATGACTTGAAAGGTTTAGTGACAGAGTGCAAGTGAATGTCTTAGTTTAACACAGTCAGCCCTCCAGACCGAGTGCTTTGCTGTCATGCTCTTTTCCTCTAGTCTCCAAGACCTGCTTGGTTCCTTGGTTGATATGCAGATCCTCAAGTTCCCTCTTAAAGGAGGAGAGAAGTAGATCCGTGTTCTCCATCCAATTGAATGAGAAAGACATTCATCAGTGTAGGGGATCTGATCAAACTAGCAGGCAGGTGAACAACAAATGGCTCTTCAGAGCCATCCTAAGGACTAGCAGCGGAGGATTACTCCCAGCCTCATCATTGCCCCGTCTGTAGCCTGGACCGTGAAGGTCAATGCCCAGACACACAGTAACTACGACCTGTCACAAGGCCAGAGACGCCAGATTCTGCTTCCTTCACTTGACCCTCTGTTCTGAGCCTGAAATAAGAGTTTAAGCATTTTGGAAACATTTTCCACCAAGGCTGAATTCAAGCAGCATGTCTTGTGATAAAATGAGCTAGATGTAATTTGAACAAGTTCCCTGGCCTAAGTCTTCGCCAGATGGACAGTTGCTGTGTGACAGGTCAAAGCTTGCAAGCCAGAGGTTGGTGTGCTGTGTCCCTAGGGGTCGCCTCATGGTACAAAAGGGGTGACTCCTGCTTGCAGACATGGGAAAAGGCCACCCTCTTGTGCAATTCCTGTTAGATGTGGAAAACCAGGCTACTCATGCATTGGCACTTATCTCCAACCACTCTGTCTAGGTTTCCCTCTGAGTAGCTGGGAGGTGGACTTCTCATCTCCCTAAGGTTCCTGACCCTGCCTCTTCAGCTGCCCCAGTGAGATCTTGGCCCCAGTATCAGAGACAGGATAGTCTAGCATTGTTGATGCAATGTTTTTAGTTGTGATTTAAATTCTAAATTTTAAGAAAACATCTTTTCTGTTGCTGTGTGACAGATGATTGACTTTTTTTGCTAGCATCACGTAACATTTTCCAATCACACTTGTTAAAAATCACAGCAACAGGTGCACTGGGATGCGGCAGGAATTTCCCGCTTGCTCTTTCTGTGGGAATCCTACATGTAAACCCTTTTGGAGATCTCAGGTTCTTGGCTGCGCACTGATCTCTACTAGTTTAATTTAAAAAAAAAATAATTAGAGTGGAAATTGATATCCTATCACTGAACCCCAAGAAGCACACCACTGAGGGAGCCATTAGCTGTGCAGGTGGGGAAACTGAGGCAGGGTGAAGTTGTAACTTGCGCACACTTCCGGTACAAGGCAAGGCTGACCTCCAGGATTTCCTCTCTGATTCCTGTTCTTTCCATGTCCTGGCACCGTAGAGTGATTCCTGAGGTCTAAAGGATGTAACCTGGCAAGATACAGGTGGAAGAGATACACCCTTGCCTTCTCCAGAGGAGCCTGCTGAAAATATTAACTCTTTTCTTTGTTGTAAAGTAGAAGTCTCCCAGGACGCTCAGTATAATTGTGAGCTAACTCATGGGGATCCTTCAAGAAGTCCGTGGGCAGTAGAATTAAGAGAGGAACTGGTGTAAAAACATCAAAAACCCTCTGGCATGATGTGTGTTTTCATGATGGGCATTTTCCACAACTTCTTGAAGACCTCTAGTGTGTGATGTATGCTGTAGTTACAACACGACTTACGCATGGTGGAAGACACAGGTTGTGATTTTACAGTTGAGAAATTGCTGGACAAGTTCATAGACATGGGGAATCACATCCAAATAAAGACAAGTAATGCCATTGCACCAAACAGTTCCCTCGTACTCCCCTCCTTTTAATACCTTAGGTTAAATCTCCCTCTATTGGGTGTGTATTTTTGCAGCCCAGAAATACTCAAATGATGTTGACTTGGGCCACCAAATGCATAGTGGAGCCTTAACTTCTGTTGGCTAGTCTGAGATCCCTTGTTGATGGAATTTATGAAAGAAAACTTGGTACTGCTGCCTCATTAAGCTAAGCCCTTTCTCAGGTTCTGAGGCCAAGATCACAGAGGATTGACTCCTGCTTTCAAGGCAGATGGCAAAGCCCAGGTTAATTTGACAGTATCAAGGCATGCTTGGAGCCAGTATCCCAGTGGCAAACCAGTGTGGTGTCCACTCCTATAGGAAGCTTTTGGGGAGCATTGCCGTTTCTAGACACCCCCAGCTCTGAAGGAGGAGACACCCTAAGCCATTTTAATGCCATTGTTCTCCTTCACTATGGCCTCCCCTCTGTTGTGAGAGATGAGGGTGTGGAGTTCAGATCCGCAGGTGGAATGTGGCTATTTGAGTGTCTCTGGCACATCTGGGAGGCCCACCCAGTTATGATAAACATGGTGGGATTCTGCTCATAATCCCGTGTGCCCTGGGCTCCCCAGGACATCGGAAATGGAATCAGTTTGGACAATCTGATTCACACCAAAAAGGCCAGGCTCACAGCTGCCCTGCTCAGTCACACATTAAGTGTTTGGGGAACTTCTCTGTGAAGAGAACACAACTCATTTATTCATTCAACAATATTTGCTAAGTAGAGGCCAGGTGCTAGGCCTTCAGGAGAAATGGGCCTTGCCCAACCCAGCATGTACCATGATGCCAGCAGAACTTGTCCCAAACTTGAACCCGGAATTCTGTGCCCGCTGCCTGCTCCAGAAGGGAACTCAGAATTCACCAGACTGTGGTCATTAGCCAGTGTTGCCTCAGGGCAGTCAAAGCTGCCTTTCTTGGCAGGTGGGAATTGTAGAGCTTGATTAACTGCTTAAGAATTCTCTCTCTAACCTTACATAATGGGAAGTATCTGAGCCTTTTTGGGGGGCGTTCTTTTGATCTTCCTATGGTGTTAACCGGAAATTGCCTTAGGGCCTTACAGAAACAGGTGCCTAGCAGTGGATGAGACCTGTCCTCCCCAAAACCTTCCCGACAAGTACCACCCAGAGACTGCAGTGGGGCAGCCAGCAGCTCCTGGCTATGACATGAGACTCTGCAAACAGATCAGCATCTCTCCATTGTTATTTTTTTAGGAAGTTCTGAGGGTGACTGGACAGTGGCGACACTTAAGTCACCGAAAGGTATCGTATGGCTTTTCCTAGCTCTTCTGTCCAGGTGTTGTTGAATTTAATATGAAGTGCCAAAAGGAACAGAAAGTCCTGATGGCTGTGCATGACCCAGTGCACACGCGTGTCCACTGTGGGGGCAACTGCCAGTCCGTCCAAGTTCCCGTTGTGCGTGTCGTGTGTGGAGCGGACCTGAACGTGCTGTGTCTGTTCTTGACGCTCTTGTTGGACCATGTGCTCCGCTTGCTTCTCACGGTTAAAACCTCTGGAAGTTACGTATCAGCCTGAGAAACCATCCCAGGTAAGACATCCAAGAAACAGTTTTGTTCTCAGAAAGCTACAAAGGCAAAATGGCAAGACACCTGATTGATAGGGGTTGAAGAGTGGGAGCGGGGGAGCACAACCCCTGAAGATAGAGAAATGTGACCCAATCATTGTCTGAGGGCTCGAGGTGATTAGCTTTCTGAGGAAGACAGCACTACTTTCAGCTTTCCCTAGGCGGTGTGGTGGGCAGCCAGGCCTAAGGAATGAACTCACTGGGTGACACTTGAGGAATGCATCTGTACTCCACTGTGTGCCAGAACGCTTGTCCTGTAGAGCTGTTGTATCAGTTGCTTTTCTGATGACCCAGCTGTGAAGGCAGCATCCTGTCCGTTGAGAGATGAGATTGTATTGCTGAGATGTGATTTGAAGGCCCAGTGTGGTAGCCTAGTGACTAAAGTTCTTGCCCTGCATGCACTGGGATCCCATATGGGAGCCAGTTCATATCCCAGCTGCTTCATTTCCCATCCAGCTCCCTGCCTCTGTCCTGGGAAAGCAGTCAAGGACAGCCCAAAGCCTTAGGACCCTGCACCCATATGAGAACTGGCGGAAGCTCCTGGCTTTCGATTGGCTCAGCTCTGGGTATTGAGGCCACTTGGGGAGTGAACCAGCAAATGTAGGTCTATCTCTCTGTGTAAAATCTGACTTTCCAATAAAAATAAATAAATCTTTAAAAAAAAAAAAGCTGTTTGAACCAATGTTGAACCAATGTTTGTATCTAATGCCTGAGCCCCATCATGCTGGTGTGGGGTGAGATAAGCTCCTCTCAGAGCAGAAACCATGTGGTTTTCTTTCTTCACTCCTTTCCTGTTGTAGAAGTTGGTGGTAGACAGGATGTGAGGCAGAACTCCAGCATAACCTTTAACAGTGCAAGTCAGTGCACAGGGGCTGCAAGGTCATTTTTTTGTACTTTTGTTTTCCTTTTTCAGGTTTATTTTATTTTTATTGGAACTCAGATTTTTAGAGAGAATGAGAAAGAGAAAGATCTTCCATCCACTGGTTCATTTCTCAAGTGGCTGCAATGGCTGCAGCTGAGCTGAGAGCCAGGAGCCAGGAGCTTCTGGGGCTCCCATGTGGGTGCAGGATCCTAAAGCTTTGGGCCGTCCTCCTCTGCTTCTCAGGCGAGCAGGGAGTAGGACAGGAAATGGAGCACCTGGGACATAAACCAGCGCCTATACGGGATCCCGGCGCATGCAAGAGGAGGAGTTAGCCACTGAGCTATTCGGACCCTTCTTGTGCTTGCTAAAGGCTGTTCCCACCTCTAAGTGGAGTCTGGATTGGGGAGGAAATATTGGAAGTGGGAATACTGAACTGGTATATGATAAGCTGTGCGAGGGTGGGAAGAGAGTAGGAAGTGAACAAGCAGTGAACTAATGGACTTGAGGGTGGAGTAGAAACCAGAAAGCCTGTGATTTTTCACACTTGAGCCAGATGAACATGCATCAACATCACTTGGTGGATGGACCCCATCCCCAAGTCATGGGTCCCACTGAGACCTGGGGAGTTGAACTGATTCCAAGGTGATGCCCTTGGCACTTTGTGGGACCACATTTAGAACCACTACATGTGTATCTCTGTCTTATAAGTAAACAAAGATAGCAGGAAAAGATAGATTTCATAAATACTCGAATTAGAAAGATATTTTGGTGCAAAAATTTCTTTGGAATTCTATCTATGGTTAGGCCTTCCCTAACTCTACTGCCTGTGCTACCTTCTTCAAGTGGGAAGTGAGGTGGGATGGGCTTTGACCAGACACGCTTGGCTGTAAGCCTGGCTCCATCATTTGCTGGGGCTGTCACTACCTTCCGTAACAAGTCACTCAAACCTTCTGAACTTCAATTTTCGGGTCCTACACAATGGGTACAATCATGCCACCCGCCTCTTGGGTTGTTGCCAAGATAGGGTGAAATCACATCTGAAACATGTGTACCTGGCATTTGGAAAGTAACAAATGTGTGACGGTTATTACTTGCATTGTTATTGTTATTGCCACTAATACCGATGCTGCTGCTATTACTATTATCAGGTGAGCAAATTAGGGGCTCTGCCATGTCCCGTGGCAATAATACTGTCCAGTTATGTTCAACCCATCATTTCCCCAGCACTTTGGATGTCTGATCTGGTTTCACTGAAAGTAAACCAGTTAATTTCCTAATATCCAGAGGCACAAATGCTGCTGGGGTCCCACTTTGGGGATATAGACAGTGGTGGAGGAGTACTGTGTTATCAAAGGAAATTGGATAATCAAAGAATTGCTGTGAAGGAAAAAAAAATCAAGATTACTGAAGACATAAGTTTCCTGCTGCCACCTGCATTGTCCAGGGCTGACTCCATAGAGGAATCAAATGGGCAAGGAAACAGCAAACATGGTGATATTGCCCTATACATCTTTCGTTACCTAGGACGTCCCATGCATGTCGCCCTCTAGTGGTCGTTTCTGTTGATCCGCCAGCGCTCTGCTTTGGGAACACCTGGGTGTGTGTGTGTGTGTGTGTGTGTGTGTGTGTGTGTGTGTGTGTGTGTGTGTGTGTGTGTGTGTGTGTGTGTGTGTGTGTGTGTGTGTGTGTGTGTGTGTGTGTGTGTGTGTGTGTGTGTGTGTGTTTAAACCACCACAAAAGATACTGCTTCAACCCAGTAAACTGTTCTAATCAAGAGGAAACCGTGTCTTTGGGAATCTTTTTTTGCAGGACATATATACATGGATCCCATTCCTTGCCTAGGGCTACCTTGAAGCTCTGAGTTTGGGGAAAATGGACAGCATAGGGTTCGAAGTTGATCGACTGGCTGGAATTGGGCTGTGTGCTTTTGCCCTGGCCTTTCCCATCCTCAGCTTTTTCACTTTTAGCAGCACTGAAAAAGGGGGCATCAGATTGTTCTCTGTCCATTTATACAAGACAATGGTAAGTCTTAGCACAGGACCTGATGTATTATTGGTTCTGAAGATGTGCAGCAAGAGGCTATTACACCCAAATTCTCTATTCACCTCTGCCTTAGAGATAGGTTTAGCTATTATGAGGGAGAATTCCAAAAGATGCACACTTTTTTCAACCTCTCTGTGTTTTCAAGGGGGAGGAGGGTGAAGGAAGGAGGGAGGAAGAGAGGGAGGAAGAGAGAGAGAGCACTTTCTTCTGGTGATTCCCTCCCCAAATGGCCAGTTTCTTAGGGCCAGGTGTTAGGAACTCCATCCAGGTCTTCCATGTGGTTGGTAGAGATCCAAGCACTTGCCATTGTCTGTTGTTTTCCCAGGCACATTACCAGGAAGTTGAACTGGCATTGCAGCAGCTGGGACTTGAAGCAGCATCAAATGTGGTGGCTTAATCCACTGTACTATTAGGATGGCCCTAGGGTTTCTGCTTTCTCAGATGAGAAAATTGGATCCCTGAGATAACAGATTTCGATCACAGCAAGACCAGGAACCAGACCCCTGAGAGGAGTTGGTGGTCTCTGCCTGGAATTCCAGCAGGTACATCTTACCTGCCACCCCACTCTTCAGCAATTGAAACCTGTGAGCCTGGAGTCCCAGTGGATTCACGTGTGTGTGTGTGTGTGTGTGTGTGTGTGTGTGTGTGTGTGTGTGTGCGCACGCGCGCGCGTTCAGTGCCTGGGTGATTCCTTTGCATTCTAAAGCACGGGTCTGCTCTTTCTGAGCTGCAGCCTTAGTAGCAGTTTGCTTCCTTTGCATTCTAAAGCACGGGTCTGCTCTTTCTGAGCTGCAGCCTTAGTAGCAGTTTGCCTGGGAATGCTGGTTTTCATTTGCCAGTGTTCCTCTTATCTTGAATACTTTGCTGAAGTACAATTGCTTTCTTGGTGGTGATCTGAGCCAGGCCTACAGATGGCAGGTGGGAAGGTTGAAAATGGACAGTTTTGGATTTGGTCTTCTGCTCTGCTAATTGTAAGCAGTGGTGGAGGAATTCAGCAGCCAAATTATTCAGCATTTGGGGCCTTCGTTCTTTCATCTGTCACAATGGAAGAATGCCACGGTCTTGCTACTTTTTGTCAAGCAACTTTGAGTGAGATAGCATGGGTGAAGTGGCTCAGTTGATGCCGAACTCATAGTAGGTACTCAATAAGTGCTGGTTCCCCCCCCCCCCCTTTCCCAAGGAAATGGATGCAGTCCATTGAGAACTGTTGATCAAGGAACACAAGCAGAAGCATGAGACAGAGAATGTAGGATTGGGTCCTGCTTCTCTTGGAGGGCACGCATTCTGCAAAAGATCTTGGGGAAACACTTACTTAGAGGCAGCTTTGAAACATTATGAAATACGGGGATTAGCAGATTCCTGATTTGGCGGTGAGTTGGCAGGTAAGGCAAGGTGGTGAGATGAGGTCATGTTTTTCAATAAAAATCAAATCCCTCCCACTCCTGGGTTCAGGCTCATTAAAAAACTAAATGGCAAAACATAAGAGTTTGAATGGGCTTCCTTGGGATCCCACAGGATCATGCCTGAGCCAGACAAGAAGGTCCTGTGGTCTGCGGCCGAGTATTTTGAAAGTATTCCCTCCAAGGCAAAGCCCACCTTATGTCATGCCCACCACACATTGTAAGCACTCAGTGGGTGAGGTTACTTCAAGCACTTGGTGGAAAAATGGAACCAAGAGATATATTTCGGAGTGTGTTGTGGTGCAGTGGGTAAACCACTGTTTACAATCTCAACATCCAACACCGGAGTGCTGGTTTGAGTCCCAGCTGCTCT